TATTATTGATTGTATTATTGGCTTTGTATGGATGCCGGGGATCGATAGAGGCTCCTCCACTCTGCCAGCGACTTGTCTATTAAAAAGAAGAATATTTCTATAAAGCTGCATTGTTCACACCTTGTATGTCAGCGTTTCATCTTCATGATGTCAGATATTATTACCATCAGCTTTTCCGGGAGCATTTTATTTATTTACTTATTTTATTTATTCATCTTTAATTTTTATTTTTTAAGACCCAGCAGTATAGATTTTTTAATCCTGTTTCACCAGATGATAATAATGATACAAATCGTAACACCAATAAAACTATCTGGTGTCACTATTAAAAACTGACCAGGGCCGGCCTTAGGCCTTTAGGCGCCCTGTGCGAGAAAGCTTTACAGCGCCCCTCAGTGACCACACCAAGTTTTTAGATGCCATGTTGTCCATTTTGATATGTGTTGTGCTATGTGTCGTGTGTAAATCTCTGACTGCTGGTCAGGATGGGTGACCACACGTTGTGTTGTGCTAAGTGACATAGGTGTAATAGGGGAGGAGCAGATTCCCTGGTGGCCTGTTGCTTGGCCAATGAGAAACAGGAAAGTGACTCGTGGAGGAGGGGGCGGGGTATTAAAGTTGCTGTGTAACCACAAAGGAGAAGGGTTAAAATCTTAAACCCCCGGCCCATTCATTGTGCGCTGTGTTTGTCTTATCGGAGAGATTTCCCTTTATTTCCTGTCTTGGAGCCCATACAGGAAGTGAAGGGAAATCTCTCCAAAGCGAGTGGAATTTCACTCTTAGACAGTTGCCGCTAGAACTCGTCTCCCCATTGGAGCATCCGTCCATCCAATCCCCTTCCGGGAACGTTCACAAATTCTTCAGGAGATGAGGAGCGCCGGATTTTGTGAATTCAAGGTGTATATATGTACAGGGGTCCTGAGTAGGTAACACATGGAGTACAGGGGTCCTGAGTATGGAACACATGGAGTACAGGGGTCCTGAGTAGGTAACACATGGAGTACAGGGGTCCTGAGTATGGAACACATGGAGTACAGGGGTCCTGAGTAGGGGACACGTGGAGCGCAGGGGTCCTGAGTAGGGGACACGTGGAGTGCAGGGGTCCTGAGTAGGGGACAGGTGGAGTGCAGGGGTCCTGAGTAGGGGACACGTGGAGTACAGGGGTCCTGAGTAGGGGACACATGGAGTGCAGGGGTCCTGAGTAGGGGACACATGGAGTGCAGGGGTCCTGAGTAGGGGACACATGGAGTGCAGGGGTCCTGAGTAGGGGACACATGGAGTGCAGGGGTCCTGAGTAGGGGACACATGGACTATGCGGTTCTGTTCTGGTCTCCGATCCACAAAAGGGAAGTCCTTGAGCTGGAGAGAGTCCACAGAAGGGGACAAAGCTAATAAAGGGGCCGGAGGACCTGAAGTATGAGGAAAGACTGCGTGTGTCATACGTGTTCACTCCGGGGGCGGAGGGGATGGGATACTAATGGTGATGGATAATCCGTAACAAGCTGTTTCCTGTCAGTTCAGCCCAATCCAGTCCAAGGTTTCATCTTAAACTGCGACGACGATTCTTCACTGTGAGAGCTGTAACATTGCGGAACTCCCTTCCACAGACAACAGCGCTATCAGCTGAGAGTATGGAATCATTCAACAACTATCTAGATACTTGTCTCCGAGTGTGAGATATACAGAGGAAAGGTCATCTGAGTAACACTCACAACCTCTTCGGTTGAATTCGATGGACCTGTGTCTTTATTGAACCTTACCTACTTTGTAACTATGCAAGTAACACAGTTCAGGGGTCAGTAGCAAGTGCCGCAGGGGTCAGTAGTAACTCAGGGGTCAGTAGTAAGTAGTGCAGGGGTCAGTAGTAAATGATGCAGGGTTCCGGGGTCAGTAGTAAGTGATACAGGGTCAGTAGTAAGTAGTGCAGGGGTCAGTAGTAAATGATGAAGGGTTCAGGGGTCAGTAGTAAGTGATTCAGGGGTCAGTAGTAAGTGATACAGGGTCAGTAGTAAGTGATTCAGGGGTCAGTAGTAAGTAACGCAGGTTTCAGGGGTCAGTAGTAAGTGATTTCAGGGGTCAGTAGTAAGTGATGCGGGGGTCAGTAGTAAGTGATGCAGGGTTCAGGGTCAGTAGTAAGATATGCGTGGGTCAGTAGTAAGTGATGCGGGGGTCAGTAGTAAGTGATGCGGGGGTCAGTAGTAAGTGATGCGGGGGTCAGTAGTAAGTGATGCGGGGGGCAGTAGTAAGTGTTGAAGGGTTCAGGGGTCAGTAGTAAGTGATGTAGGGTCAGTAAGTGATGCGGGGGTCAGTAGTAAGTGTTGAAGGGTTCAGGGTCAGTAGTAAGTGATTCAGGGGTCAGTAGTAAGTGATTCAGGGGTCGGTAGTAAGTAACGCAGGGTTCAAGTAGTAAGTGATGCGGGGGTCAGTAGTAAGTGATGCGGGGGTCAGTAGTAAGTGATGCGGGGGTCAGTAGTAAGTGATGCGGGGGTCAGTAGTAAGTGTTGAAGGGTTCAGGGGTCAGTAGTAAGTGATGTAGGGTCAGTAAGTGATGCGGGGGTCAGTAGTAAGTGTTGAAGGGTTCAGGGTCAGTAGTAAGTGATTCAGGGGTCAGTAGTAAGTGATTCAGGGGTCGGTAGTAAGTAACGCAGGGTTCAGGGGTCAGTAGAAGTAACACAGGGTTCAGGGGCCAGTAGTAAGTAATTCATTGGTCATTAGTAATGCAGGGGTCAGTAGTAAGTGACTCAGGATTTAGGGGTCAGTAGTAACTAATTCATTGGTCAGTAGTAAGTAATGCAGGGGTCAGTAATAAGTGACACAGGGGTCAGTAGTAAGTGACGCAGGGTCCAGGGGTCAGTAGTAAATAATGCAGGGTTCGGGGGTCAGTAGTAAGTGATGCAGAGTTCAGGGGTCAATAAGTATTTCAGTAGTAAGTAATTCAGTAGTCAGTAATGCAGGGTTCAGGGGTCCGTAGTAAATAATGCAGGGCTCAATAGTAAGTGACGCAAGGTCCAGGGGTCAGTAGTAAGTAATGCAGAGCCACAGGGGCAGCCATCACAGCATATACAGAACTGGCTGCTTATGACTGCAGCTCACTACCGCCGGGGACTTTTGTTTCCCTAATGGGACTAATGGTAACCTTCGCTTAGGGACCTGGCGGTCTTGTCTGGCTGGCCACAAGACTGGCTGAACTGCGTTGCATATACTTGAGCAGGTGAAATAGGTCCAACCATGACTAGAAGTGTTTTGCCCGGAGTCTGAAGAATGTATTCTTTTTTCCTGAACATAATAATATTGTGCCGATACTCTCTGTGTAGAA